TATATATATATATATATACACACACACACACAGACACAGGAGTGCTAAGATAATTCATATGAATGAATCTAAATAGATAAACAAACAAGCATGCACATATGTTAATCTATTAATAAAAATATAAATCAGTGCAGAAATGATTTTGTATGTCAATGTAGTTTTTTTTATTTGCATTAAAAGTCATGTACAATAATTTTATATTCTGGATGACACAGACCACACCTGTCAAGTCTTGGACTGCAAAATACGAGAAATTTTTCGCAGTCCAGTGCTACCTTTAGATGGGTGGTGGGGGGTTGTACATATTATTATGGTATTATACGTGAAGTTTACTTGGAAATAATAATAATACAATCCAGTATTGGTATTTTCCAGTAAATGAAAGACAGGTTAAAAAAAAAACCGGTAGCTTCCCGGCCAAAACTGGAGACTTGATAGGTATGAATAGAAAACACAGTCTTACCTTGTGAAGAATCTAATGTCCTTGTCCGATGATGCAAAACGGTGAATGCCAAATCGCTGCCTCAGACTAAGGCTCTCCATTTGTTTCCGTAGTTGGCGGATTTCCTCCCGGAGAGCATTGTTTTCCTCCAAAACCAAATCCACAACTGCAGGGTCTGGAGCTGAGGCATAATCGTGTTCCTTAGTATAGACATTAGCCGGTGGGTTAGCCTCCTCCTCGCTGTCCTCTGGTAGTGGTCTTTTCCTCCTCTCCCAAACCCCCGGTCGTGGGAGTGGAAGGGAAAAATTATTCCACTGGAAGAGAGCAGGTACAGCTCCCTTTTTTAACCTTCGTCTTCCGATTTCAGATTCAGGCTCTTGTATGTCCTCACGTTTGAAATGCCGGCTACAAACTCTAGTGTGAGCTTTGATGGCTAAGTTAGCTCTCCGGATAGCCACTATCCATTTTTTCCGTAACTCCTCATCAGTAGGGAAGTTGAAAAAACTGATGAATTTGTTGCACCTGCTACTCACCGGACACAACGGTACACAACAAAATTCGAATGTTGTGCCAGTTGCTCGAAGATATGTCACTTCCCGTGACTTCTTCATTCTCACAAGTGCAGCTTCGGCCAAGAACAATAGGAGCAAGCAGGACCCGGAACCAACCTATGTGGAATAAATTCAAACGGAAATACGTCACCACCTCTCGTGGCATATACCCTGTTGCGAAGAATTTTAAAATCTTCCACTCGCGTGCTTTTATTTTGAAGGCGCATAACAGCGCA